TAGACGTTTATCTGTTGATGACCTTTTGACCTCCTGAATTCTGCAATGAGATTTTCGGGTCGATTCAGCCGAGACGGCCCGAGTGGAGTTTCATGTAAATGTTTCGTACGGAAAAAAAAATCGCGCCCTGGCCACCCAATATACATGTGTACAAAGCGTAGCTGCTGGCTCGAGACGAATACGTGCAATTCTTTTAGAGTATTTTTTTGCAACATACTGAGCAGGCCGTATGGTAATAATCGGCTAGTGTAAAACATCATTTTTAAATATATAATTTCTACTGTTAAAGGAATGTCTAACTACTATTACTTGTACGTACGTTAATATTTATGAAATCCCATTGTGACAAATATGAATGATAAAGCATGAATGGTTAATTGATATATTTAGTACAAGTATGAATGATTGATATAATAGAATAGTGCGTGTTTTGAGCTATAGACAAAGACAAAACTAATGAAAAGAAGTCACATGTTAATGCAATGATGATTATGTATATTTGGCCGGACCAATAAAAATAGCTTCCGACGCCCTTGAGATAGGAGTATTTCTTCCAGATAACCCACTATAAGTCCAAAGATTTGTTCCTAGTGGGGTACTCGAACTGGTGGTGAATTGGGCAGAACACCGGGAGATAATCCCATACTCTTTTCCGAAGAGTATACAGTGTTCTTTAACATGCACATGGGCCAACATGGGACCAACGGCTCAAACGTCTCATCTGAAAGACAGTGCGCTATCGTAACTTGCATTTCAGCCCTCCGATGTGAATTGAATGGGCGACCAAGAGATCTCCAAATTTCAGCAAAGATATACTGCACCAACTAACAAAATTGGAATTGATTTGCTTAATTTAGAAAGTAATTAGTTTTCAATGGATACAGTAATTGGAATCAGAGAAAGAAATTGTCCTCCCCAATTAACCTTCAGAGTATTGATAGAGTCTTTGTGTAGATTCTTAAATTTCTTGCAACAAATATGAAGATTTTTGTTGTAAAACATCTCTAAATCATTGATTTTTCAATCTGGATGTGAATTAATGAAAGTTGATAACATATGTGGTTCTTTTATTCGAGCAATACAAATATTCATGTAGTTTATGGGTTTTCTTCATTTTTGTGGGTGACAGATTGTCTAAAATACAGCTGTATGTTGATTGTTAATACAGTTTATAATTTATGGGAAAAAAACACCTGTTAACACTAATATTATTGAGTTTAACATGTGAAAATGTTAGCCAGACATCCTGACCTTCCAGGTTAGGGTCATCCTTTTGGGCAATGACTACCCTTTTTTCAGAATGGTATCAGCTATTTTAAATTGACCTACCTGATTTAGAATGGTATCAACCTGTTTCAGATCTGTTCTGGATATGATGTGTCTTTTGATGTCTTCAACAGCCATCTCAATTGACTTCAAGTAAGAAGTCACTGCTTCTTTCTCTCTGTCAGATTTACATAAATTATATATTAGTTGTAACAATATCAAATTGGGGCAACAGTGTATAAATGTGAAATAAAGAAAAACTCAGTAAATACTATTGGCTGCTGTCAAAAGAGGAAGAGCAGTACATGACGGGACGATATCCAGCACACCATGTGTGACTGCCTCTGTAGGGTTCCAGAAGTTACATAATGGCATTTTCATGAAGAGGTGGACATCCAACAACAGATGATGGCTTATGATTGATTGACAGATTAATTAAATGAAAATAATTATATTTTTTTAACTTCGATGGATGGATGGATTTATTTGGTGTAAACACCAAGGACAGCCCACAAAGTCTGAAGAAGACGTATTTCCAGTGGAGTCCTTCTGGTGGTGGTTAGGCAGTACGCCAGGAGACAATCCCCTACTCTTTTCCGAAGAGTGTACTGCGTTCTTTAATGTGCACATGGGCCATAATGCACATGAGACCAATGGCTTAAACGTCTGATCCGAAAGATGGTGCGCAGAGCCCGAACGCCAAGGCCACCCTAAGTTTTCAGGTCCTGAAGGTGGCCTTGAATTGGAAGGTGAACTGTAGTAAATTCAATTCTATTTTTATAGCAATATGATTGTGCAAGGTTTTGCATAACTTATGACTTAGTGCAATCCTTAACATTGTTAAGGTTTCTTTTCATTTGCATTGGTAACCCTGT